CTCCCGTCGCGGTTCGCTCCGTTTCTGTCTGTGACGCTGCAAAGCCGGTTTCCCTCTAATAGCGATTTTTGGAGTAACGTGAATTACATCGTTGGAAAGCTCGTTTTATGTCCTTTTTGAAACCGTTGGAATTATTTTAATTCCATCAGTCATTCAGAAGTTATGACGCGGAGAATCTAGAGTGAGAAATAACGTGGTTCTTGTGTTTCTCTAGTTTCTCTTCAGAAGAAGTCTCTCATGTTCACTTTTCTGTCTGATATGCTAACTCTCCTCCACACACACACACACACACACACACACACACACACACACACACACACACACACACACACACACACACACACACACACACACACACACACACACTCAAATGTTAATGCACACAAAAGCTCTGAGGCTAAAATCCATCCAGCTGACGTGACGCAGGCTGAATAAAATCATACAGGTAGATGAACGCAGACTCCTGCCGACAAGCAAAACACCGGTCTGTCGTCTCCATGGCAGCGAGTTAGCGAGACAGCCGATCATACGTTAGCCTGACGTGGCAAAGCCAATCAGTGAGTGAGACGTTAAATACAAATATTTTTTCTTCTGCCTAGTGGTATGCAAGCACATTACAGTGGTACTTGGAAACAGTTCATATTTCATTTCCCAGGTGATGGCTATCAGTGATTCGACAGCATTTGCTGAATCTTACTTAAAAATCAAAACAAAACAAAAACATTGGACTGTGATCTGTATTGCTTAATTCATAAATGAATAAACCCACAGCTTTTATCAGTGATAATGGCAAAAAAATGCCTAAACCACAACTACATGAAAAAAAATCAGAACAGGACAACCACACGATGCTGCGCTACTGAGAGAGTGCGTGAAGCCTCGTTCACACTGAATACAGAATGCATGCAGAAGTGCTAAGTGTCTGTGATTAAATGTCCACCAGCAGTGATTAGTTGTGTCATCAGAAATAAAGGGAATGTGGTTAATTTTCATGCTGAGCTGTTTCTTGGAGTGCTATGACTCAATCATGGCAAAGTTTGAGTTAAAAAAGATAACCGGTTTATTACAATCTAGTCCATGTTAATACAAGCATCGGTACACCGGTGGAGAACCATGCAGCCCAAAAGTGGTTCTGTCTTTCCAGCATCTGTCCACTGCTTATAACTCTACAACAGCATCTCTAAAAACTCTGGTACAGGCAAATTCCTAAGCCTGCTTAGAATAGCAAAATGCTATTGTAGGAGAATGGAGTCTTCACAGAGCCGCCTTGTAATTTATGACTTCTTGACAACAGTCCCAGCTGTCTCTACACAGCCTTTAAGGTGGGATTTCTTCTTAGGGGCTCCAAATGAATAAAGACACATTATTTTTAAGCTGCAGTTATTACAACATTGCATGCTATTATTTAATATACAGATAAATTGTTTAAAGCAGACGCCACCGGTATCTAACAGCTTTAAATTGCAGTGGGTTATGTACTACAATCATCATGTGTCTGTTATCTTGTCTGCTTCTTAAATACAGGAGGGTATAACAGTTTTTTCTTAATCTTTAAGTAATATTCTTTTGTATTCAGAATTCATGAATGAACATCTCAAATATTTGGTTAAGGCCTGAGTTTTAAAAACAAAGGAGATTTGAAAAAGAAAATCAAAAGAAGAGGTGGCTCAAGGGCCGAGTACGGACTTGATCAACGATAGTTGAGCAGAGGTACAAGACTAACATTAAGGTTGTAAAAAACTAAATAGTACATTTGGAAGTACTGTTGTTAAATAAATCCTTTGAGCCTCGTGTGGATGCTCGTATGTCTCTTTAAAGTTGTCTTTCGGCTAAATCTTTTCCCACAGAGCTCACAGGCAAAAGGCTTCTCTCCTGTGTGGACTCTCATGTGATAGTTTAAACTTGCCTTTTGGGTACATCTGTATCCACAGAGCTCACACGCAAAAGGCTTCTCTCCTGTGTGGACTCTCATGTGCGTGTTTACATTATATTTTTGGCGAAATCTTTGTCCACAGAGCTCACAGGAAAAGGGCTTCTCTCCTGTGTGGACTCTCATATGTGCGTTGAAACTATTTTCATGGCTAAATCTTTTCCCACAGAGCTCACAGGCAAAAGGCTTCTGCCCGGTGTGGACTCTCATGTGTATGTTTAAACTTACCTTTTGGGTACATCTGTATTCACAGAGCTCACAGGCAAAAGGCTTCTCTCCTCTGTGGACTCTCATGTGTATGTTTAAACTTGCCTTGTGGGTACATCTGTATCCACAGAGCTCACAGACAAAAGGCTTCTCTCCTGTGTGGACTCTCACGTGTCTGTTTAACTGTGACTTTTTGGTACATCTGTATCCACAGAGCTCACAGGCAAAAGGCTTCTCTCCTGTGTGGACTGTCATGTGATCATTTAAATGTGACTTTTTGGTACATCTGTATCCACAGAGCTCACAGGCAAAAGGCTTATCTCCTGTGTGGACTCCCATGTGTGTGTTTAAACTATTTTTATGGGTAAATCTTTTCCCACAGAGCTCACAGGCAAAAGGCTTCTCTCCTGTGTGGACTCTCACGTGTCTGTTTAAATGTGACTTTTTGGTACATCTGTATCGACAGAGCTCACAGGCAAAAGGCTTCTCTCCTGTGTGGACTTTCATGTGATAGTTTAAACTTGCCTTTTGGGTACATCTGTATCCACAGAGCTCGCAGACATAAGGCTTCTCTCCTGTGTGGACTCTAATGTGTGTGTTTAAATTACTTTTCCGGATAAATCTTTTGCCACAGTCATCACAACTAAATGATTTTGGTTCTTTCTGGACTTTTCTACATGAGCCTCCATGTTGCTTCTCTTTCACACATTTTGTATTAACCGAACATTCTGAAGACTTTCCTGCTGAATGACTTGTCACTCTCTCATGTTCCTGAAGAGACCACTTGTGGAGGAACCGTATACCACACACAGGGCAGCTAAATGATTTGTTGACGGTCTTAATATCTGACTCTGAAGACTTGTTCTCATTACAGCCATGGTCTCCGTTTCCAGTTCCAGGCCCAGAGTGTGAACGCTCGGAGTCTAGATTCACATCATCTTCATCTTCTCCACTAACTTCAATCTCTGAAGAATCTGATGTCTTTTCATTAGAGTCCAGATCTAGGTTCTTGCTAGTTTCTGCTCCTCCACCAACTTTTGCTGTCATCTGCCCAGCCAAGCTGCTGGTTGGGACACCTCCGTCTTTCATTTGATGGTTGTGGAAATGTAAGAGCAGAGGTTTCTCATCCGTCTCTTCTCTCTTCCTTGAAACTGCAGTGAACCAAGCAGAAATACATAAAAGAAAAATATTCATTAAAAAGACAAGACAAAAGACCTAGGGGTGTTTTTACAATCAGTAATATACATAACCAGTGTTGGTAAACACATTACTATTTATGGTAATGCATTACTTTAACAAATAACTATGAATCTAATGAGTTGCTTTTAAGTCCAGACATCACTATGCGGTTGGTAGAAGGAAAAAACGCTATCTGCAAATTCTGATTAAAGCCTCTCAGAGCCGGTCAAACCAGCCGTACGTCGCTGTTACTGTGGAGCCTAGAGATACCCTGACAGCAGCATCGCGTAGGCCCCTCCCTTCCTTTCCCTAACACTGTAGACGCGCAGTGGCAAAAATGTAAACAAATATATAAGCCGAACATTTACTCCGTGAGAGTGCTGTAAAGTTTGTTTCCTACAACGAAATCACGGCGTGGAGGAGGCTTGTTAAAATGCGTCAAAACAGTAAATGTAATACGTGTTTTAAGAAGAAACTGTGGGTGGAAAGAGGTGAGATTGTAAGGCTCGCTGCAGAAATAAAAACACAGAACATCAACACTCGTCTGTAACCCATAAAATAATAATGAGCATCATGCTGCTAGATCAGCAGCTTGTGATGACAGTTAGTTCTGCTCACTAGGTCAGCTGACCTTAATACACACGATGGGACATATGGCACTAGAATTCCAGATAAAGAGCTAGGAGCAAGGCCATTTAAACATTTGTAGGCCAGAACCAAAATCTTAAATTGAACACAGAACTGAACTGGGATCCAATGCAGAGAGGCAACAACTGGAGTGATATGATCAAATCGACCAGTGCCAGTCTTAAGACGGGCTGCAGCATTTTGAACTAGCTGCAGCCTAGCAATACATCCATGATCAACATTAGGGCTGCACAATATTAGGAAAACCTGCGATATTCGATAACAGTGCTTAATATTGCGATATCGATATTACTCACGATAAATGAACAAATACTAAAGTATGCAGTGTTGTCGTCTGGCGTGTGACGTCTGCTCTGGGATCAAAGCAAACAAAAACTAATGCATGAATTCCATTACAACATTACATTATTATTGCAAAAATATGCAGCTGCACCTGCTACTGTATTAGCAGCTGCACCTGCTACTGTATTAGCAGCAAAACAACAAACTGCATGCATGCAGTTTCTCAGTGACTTTAAAGGAGACATAACATGGAAAACCCACTTTTTTATCCATTAACACAGTGTGTTTCACATTTTAAGTGTCTAAGTGAGCAAAAAGGCTTATATTATTCCCTGGAGTTGCTATTTAGATATTTAATAATTAAGTTTTGGGCATATTTGTCCACCCGTTCAGTTTTTCAAATTATCTATTACATCAGTAATTTATTTCGTCAGGATAACTACCAAATATGGTCATGGCCCTCGGCTAAACACAGAGCCAATCCACCATTTTTTCTTCTCTCTAAGATTTTTTGTAGTCCTATTGGAAAAATGCAGAATGTCTGGTTATTTTAGTCACACACAGCTCAAAACTGTTCCTCGTTTTAAGGAAGGGTGGTGTGGCAGTATTTAAAACCCAGAGGCTGATGACACTACTGCTAAAAAAAAAAACAGAAGAAAAAGTAGTGTGTGTTTGTGTGTGTGTGTGTGTGTGTGTGTGTGCGTTCGTTTGTTCGTGTCTCCAGGCTAATAAGTACTGAGGGCTTCATCTATTTAGGAGTCATTTCCATCTGAATGTGGCAGCAACGGGACACAGCAGCAGAGCGGTAAGCTTCATATAACTCTAAAATGTCGACAAACTTTACTTTAGATTTACGGGCATTAGCAGCACTAAAGCGTTAGCATCCGACTTGCTATCGCTAGCACAGTATGCTAGTAAAGTTAATACCCAGATTAATGTGGATTTGGCCGATTTTCGTGGAATAAAACGTGATCTGGGATTTCTGATCAACGCCTTTTTTTACACCAGATGATAACCTTCCACTGATTGTAACAGCAGAGAGCCTGTGTGTTATTTTACGTGAGTGTGATGTAATCTTAGCATCCAGTAAATAAAGTCCCATATCAGCTAAAATGCAGCGTGACAAAGTCATTAAAGTGCGTCAACACAGTGGATTTAATAGTTTTAAAGAACAATCTCTGAGTGAAGTGAGGTTAGTTTTTTGTCTCACTGCAGATATAAAAACTAACTCTGCATCAGTCAGACGCAGCAAAGCTCACCGTCTGTATGAGCGTGAGCGTCGGAAAGCTGATAAAATCAGCTGTAAAATAATTAAAACAAAAGTAGAAATGTTCCTTTGCTTTTTAGAGTCCACATCCAGAAGGCTGGAGCCGTGTTTCACTGACAGGCTGTCAGACTAAAGCCCTGATGAGCTCAGCTGGGACAAACTGGTCTGATGTTTAGGTAAGTGAAGATCTGGTTCAAGACCTTGAAATGCTAGTAAAAAATAATTTAGCCAGCTTGCGAATGTTACTTTTCTTCTCCTCTAAGGAACACAGAACTTTCAGATGTTGGAGCTTCACATCACCTACTGAGGAAGGAGACCCACCAGTAAAGAGACGGTCTGGACCAGACCAAAGTGAGTGATGACACACCTCAGCCACACTCATCATTAAGAACACCTCACCCCCTGAATCACTCCGTCTGATGACAGCAGAGTGATTTATTTGATGTTTTACTTGTTTAGTCTGTTTAGAAATTATTGAATTACATTATTCTCTGTAAACAACCATCTGATCTGGACATGTACAGAATAACTTTCCCCAAGTTCAGCTGCAGCTGGCCTACAAAAACAGCTGCAGCATGTAGTAAGTCTGTCTGTGCTGCTCTCTAATGAGCTTCCTTTCATAAGGAATCATTTGTATAATTTTAGTGTCACTATTTTATTACATCTGTAGGAAAAAATCAAGTCACTGCAGCAAAGTGAACTTGTGAACAAACACAAACGTGACTATAAACATGAAAGCTAAAGAACCAACTTTCCTAAAGCTGCTTGTAAACAAAATATGTCATTAAAGTTATTGTCTATCATTGCAGAATATGGCGATGACATCATGGAACTGGTCTTTGGAAAAGTTTTCCCTGAACCAACTCCGTTTCTAGATGAGGTAGAGAAGATCTGCATCTCACCAACCCTCTGGTCTCAGTATTCAGACAACGGAGGTCTCCCACTGTTATCCAGGACCAGTTTGAAGCCCACATACTGCCCCTCCTAGCCTGGCAAGCCAGACTAAATAAATGTATTATTTAGTCTGGCCATGCTCCATTGACGGCTCTCGGTTGTGGGGCGGGTTCTACCGTTGTCTTTCAAATGATCTCCGCATTCCACTGGACAATGAATGTGACATACTCTTGTTTCACTCTGTTGCATCGTCCCACCCACCAGGCATATGGAGTGCCCTGATTGGCCCACAAAGCAGATAAAGCTCTGTGATTTGTTCACTAAGCAGATAGAGCACTATGATTGGCCCACCATTATGGACCAATCACAGCTCTTTATGTGTTTGAAACCCCTCTAGAGAGCTGTGATTGGCTAGCCAGAGTCCTGGTAGGAGCTTCAGAGGTTCCAATGGAGCATGCCTAGACCATTCTTTGCAAAGCAAGAATTTGGTCTAGTTCACTAGGCTATGCCCCTCCCTCATCATCAGGAAACATCAATCCGTATCCTGAGGACAACAGAAGACGGCAGGAGGACAGGAACTCTGAGACACCACCAGCACCGGGACACAAAGCACCTGTGTGCACAACGCCTGTTTAACTACTAAAGCCTGTTTATTCTAGTGTTCTACTTGTTTGCTGTGAGGTTAATACGTAGAAAATTTGTATATTAATGTAAACAATAAAAAAATCACTGATTGTATGTTTTCTTTTAGATGTAATGGTCCAAACTCCGCCTTGTAGACATTTATTGCATCCTGTAGGTAAACACACAGAACAGGCTCAGATCCAGGATGACCCAGCATGCTCTTCTTCCATTCTGGCTGTTAGGGATTGTATCAATAACTCAATGCCTACGGGTGTTTCCACCTAACGGTATTTATTTAGAATGCAGGTAAGATTTAACTATATTTGTTAGCAAAGCAGACTGATCTTGGGAATTTCACTGCAGCACTGATGTCCACCTCTGTGTACACATTAGAGAGAATTACCACTTTACAGCTAAACGCACATTTAATAAAGATATAGGCTACGCATTGCAGACAATAAAAACAAAGTTGTAAGCATTAGAATTATAATCACATTAAAGAACATTTGGAGAAATGTTCTTTATTTGTCACTAGAATCTCAAATCTTTAAATTAAAATGTAACTGTTTTTTATCCATTTTCAGCCATTAAGACACCCAATATAAAATAAGACTACTTATAAAATTATTTATAGATAGATGATAGATAGATGACAGACAGACAGACAGACAGACAGATAGATAGATAGACAGATAGATAGAGATCTTAATAAAATATATTCTTTTAACGGAGTTTTATCATTTTTTAAAACATTTTTTATAGAAATAAATAAGCTAGCAGCATTTCTTGTGTGTATGTGTGCGCGCGTGCCTGCTCGCTTGTCCCTCTGTCGGCCATGACGGGTGTGTGTGCGACTACAGACAAATGCATGAGAGAGTTAGCAGCCTTGAAACAGCTTGATGAACTACTCTCCCCACGTTTTAAAAATGCTAATATAATGTTTCTGCTATGCTAAATAATGATTTCTCTATAGACCTACAAAGTCCGACTGGGGGAGGAGAGTACAGGCATGGGCGGCATTAGGCCCGGCTACTTGGGCTGAAGCCCCAGACGCTTTATGAAAAGCCCCGGATCTAAATCGCAGAAGCAACATGCAGTACCAAAGTCCAACAGAGAGGGAGCAGCTGGCAGTAGTTTGTATACAGCCTGCCTGAGCCTCCACCTGAAGAAGCCCTTCAGCAGCCGGCTTCTTCTACAGTCTGCCTGAAAGGCATGTGTGAAGATGGACATAAGGATGTTTTTTAGACCAAAAGTACAACGACAGAACCCCAGCTTTGATGATACTGGTGTTGACTCAGGTTTGTGAGTCTTATTTGAAAATATTTGTTGTGCTGCTGGTTTGCCTAAAGCAAACCTGGGCATTTTACGGCCCGCGGGCCACATACGGCCCTTTGGTTGACTTTGACCGGCCCGCGTAAGGTTAATTGGAAATTACAAAATAAATGTATTTTCTCATTTTACCTCATGCATGGACTAAGGCTGCATTGCTTTTATTTTGAAGTTGTTTTTTACGTGCACAATGACGCAATACGTATAGCAACAAGTGCCCGCGGTTGACATGGTGATTGTAGGCCCCAGAAATGTCCGCTAATGCAAAAAAAAAAAAAAAAAGACAGACAGATGCCAAATGCAGGATTTTCAACAAAAATTGGACTGCTAAGTATTATTTTACTGAAGTTGGAGGTAAAGCCGTGTGTTTGGTTTGCGAGGAGGAGATTGCCGTGTTTAAGGACTACAATTTGAGTCGGCATTACGACAAGAAACACTCGGAAAAATACAAGAACTTGTCTGATGCTGAGAGGGCACGGACGTCCAAAGCTTTGCTAGCAAAGTTGCAAAAGCAGCAAGGCTTTTTTACTAAGCTTCACACATCCAGGGATGCAGCAACCAGGACCAGCTTTGTGATATCCCACAAAACAGCTAAAAACAGCAAGCCGTTTTCAGAGGGAGAGTTTGTCAAAGAGTGCATGGTGGACTCTGCCGCACTAATATGCCCTGAAAAAAAGGGGCACTTGAGCAAATCCCTCTGTCCAGGCGAACCGTCACCAAGAGGATAGAGGACATTGCGGGGAACCTGGAGCTTCAGCGGCAACGTGAAGTGGCAAGTTTTGACTTTTTCTCATTGGCCTTAGACGAGAGCTGTGATGTCCGCGACACAGCCCAGCTGCTCGTATTTGTCCGGGGGATAACGGACTTCAAGCTCACAGAGGAGCTGGCAGCAATGCGGTCGGTGAAAGGGACAATGACAGGGAGTGATCTTTTTACAGAGGTAAATACGTGCACGGACACTCTGGGATTGAAATGGGAGAGACTGTCAGGTGTCACAACAGACGGTTGTCCAAATCTTACAGGGAAAAATGTCGGACTTTTGAAACGCATGCAAGATAAAGTGACAGAAATCGATGCAGATCAAAAATTGGTGTTTTTGCATTGAATTATACACCAACATGTGTTGTGCAAGTCAGTGCTAAAAATCAACCATGTTACTGATGTTGTTACTAAAATAATAAACTTCATCAGGGCGCGGGCAATGAATCACAGACAGTTTGTCGCTCTTTTGGAGGACTCCACACAGCTGCCAGATGGCTCAGCCTGGGGAAAGTGCTGAAGAGGGTTTGGGACTTGAAAGCAGAGATTCGAGAGTTTTGCGAGAGGAAAGGCAAAGACATTCCAGAGCTCTCAGATGAGGACTGGATGGCAGATTTTGCATTTGCTGTTGATGTGACTGCACTGATGAATGAACTGAACACCAAACTGCAAGGCAAGGGCCTTTTTGTTCATGAAATGAACAGCCTCGTGAAGGCCTTCATGAGAAAGCTGCCGTTTCTTTCAAGTCAACTGGAGAGCAACACTCTCACTCACATGCAAACCCTGAACGAAGTCACACCATCAGCTGATCACCTCAGCAGGTACTCATCCATGTTAGGAGCATCACATGGTGAGTTTTCAAGGCGTTTTGAAGATCTCAGAACAATGGAGGATGAAATGCACATGATTTCCTCTCCCTTTACCTGCAGTGTGGATAAAGCACCCAGTGATGTGCAGCTGGAACTCATTGACCTGCATTCTGATGCAGTACTGAAGTCAGGATCTCTGCTGGATTTCTACTCTTCTCTTAAGGAGGAGAACGTTCCAAACCTGAGGAGACATGCTCAGAAGATGTTGGTTCTCTTCATTTGTGAACAAACGTTTTCAATGATGAAGTTTACAAAATCCAGGTATAGATCCTCTCTCACTGATGATCATTTGTCAGCTGTGCTTCGCATCTCCACCTCAGACATTCAACCTGACTTTGATGCACTCGTTAAAGCCCAGCAGAGACTAGATTTCTCTCATTGAATAAGCAAAAAAAAAAAAAAAACTTAAAAACACGAAATTAGGTGTTTGGACCACAAATGTAGGCAACTAGCAGTGAACTGGGACACTTTTTTTAAACCTCTTTCTCAAGATCACAGTTCAGTGGTTTTATTTTACAGACAATACTGTGTGTCTGTAGAATGCTAAGAACCTCTTTCCAACAATATTTGAAACTCAAAATATGTTTTGGAGTGAATGTGACTGAAACTGTTAACTAATATAAGTCACAAATGTTTAACAAAAACCAAAGGTGCACACTTTGTTTACCATTGCCTTGGGAAATTAGAATAAATCACATTTTTGTAAGCCAACCTCACTTTTTCCTTTTTGCTCATTTATAACATATAGTCTACTCTTACCAGCTTGAAAAAACGATGGTATTTACTGCTTTTTATAAAGAAATACCATTAATATTATGCATAATTGACTTCAGCCTTTTGGCCTGGCCCTCCACAATATTTTCTGTTTCTCATGTGGCCCCACTGAAAAAATACTTGCCCACCCCTGGCCTAAAGCTAGCTTACTTTCAGGTAAAGTTGATGGAGAAAGAAAGGGAATATTTACTAACCTCTCACACTAAACACTAACAGGAACAATACTCTGCCCTGAAAATGCTTAATATGTAGCTTCAGATAAAAAAATTATGTGGTACAAGACATATATATGTTGACTAGTGCGTGTCACTTGTGTGTGTGTGTGCGCGCGTGTGTGTGTTAAGCCCCGGATCTTCTTCAGTCCTAAATCCGCCCCTGAGTACAGGTCTGCACTATGGAGGGGGGGGCGGAGTTTATAGCTCCTCCTCCAGATTTAAAGAGACAGTACCCAAAAAGCAGCTCGTTCTAAGTATTCTCTTTCTTTTGTTTGGCTTCAGAGAGCCGTTTGGGTTACAGAAACTCTTACCAGCCCAAGTAACTATTTCATTTTAAAAGCTACCTGAGATCTGTTGATTAGTCTGTTTTCCAGCTTTTAATTAAAAGCTGTGATTTTCCTTTATTAGCTGTTTATTTGACTCAGGAGTTTTCTTTGTTGGGCTGTGTCTAGTAAATTGTGTTAGAACCTCCAGCCCCAAGAACATGTGTAAGTTGTGTAACAAAAATAAGGCGTG